ATCATGCCTGAAAGGGAGTTTTTCTAGGGTTCTGTGCGCCCAGTTCATCCCAACATGTTCAAGTTGCAGATGGTGCAATCACAACCATGGAAATCAGCCTTCGTTGGTGTAAAATGCCATATGCCAGCTCTGTCCCCTTCAAAATAATCTCGCTGGAAGATGTCTGCTGCTCAGTATCCTTGGATCATCACAAGGATTTCTACAGATTAAGAGTTGGAAGGGACCTTGTAGGTTATCTAGTCCAACCCCCCCCACCCAAGCAGGAGATCTTACATCATTTCTAACCAATGGCAGTCCAATCTCTTCTTCTTGAAAGCCTCCAGTGATGAAGCTCCCACAACTTCCGAAGGAAACTTCTGTTCCATGGGTTGATGGTTCTCACTGTCAGAAAGTTTCTCCTTATTTCCAGGTTGAATCTCTCCTTGGTCAGTTTCCATCCATTCTTCCTTTTCCTGCCTTAAAATGCTTTGGAAAATAGCTTGACCCCTTCCTCCTCTCTGGGGCAGCCGCTCAAATATTGGAAGACTGCTACCAAGTCTCCCCTGGTTCTTCTCTTCACTGGACTAGCTATGCCCAATTCCTGCAACCATTCTTTATATGTTTTAGTATCCAGGTTTTGACCATCTTAGATAGACTCAGATTAACAGAGTTGGAAGGGACCTTGCAGGTCATCGAGTCCAACCCCCCACCCCCCTACCCAAGCAGGAGACCCTACACCATTTCTGACCCTTGGCCATCCAATCTCTTCTTGAAAGCCTCCAGGGATGAAGCTCCCACAACTTCTCCACTTCTGTTCCGTGGGTTGATAGTCCGTCCAACAGGAAATTTCTCCTTATTTCCAGGTTGAATCTCCCCTTGTTAACGTAGGAAATGAACGTAGTCTAGGAAATTAGGTTAAAGGAACCAGAGGATCTTGAAATTGACACACTTTAAGAGAAGGAGAACCTCCAAGCGTCAGAAAGAGGGGTAAAGTGAGGCACCAGGGATCGGCCGGGGGGGGGGGGGGGCCAAAAATGGGGGGTTGGGGGGGGATTGGGGACCAGAAATGGGAAATAAAAGAGCTTTGCAGCCAGAGAAGAAGGAAGAATCGAGGGGAAGGGAATTAGG